TTCAAATCCCCACTTGGGCATGGAAACCACTGGGTGACCTTGGTCAAGTCAGCCTCTCCCAGACCCAGAGGGAGGAACTGGCAAAACCTCCTCTGAACAAATCTTACCAAGAAAACCTTGTGAGACACACAACAATGCTTATGATTAAAAATATTCTGTCTGCATGTTTTAACCTTCAGAATTTTCCCTACTTGCACCAACAGTCAGACGTGGGTCCTTAAAGAGGAAATGACAGAAGAGATACTTGCCTCCTCTGACTCTGGTATCAGATGGTTAACAAGGCAGTCTTTTGCGTGTCGGTGCAAAAGGAAGCCCCAGTGGGAGTTATTCCAAGATTTGTGTATAGCATAGTAGCCTAAGTGATAAACATTTACAGTAATCAAGCCAATTTTCTCCTCTTACGGTCTTTCTTTCAAACTGGTAGAAATAGTTCTCTCTCTTGCACCCTGATTTATGATCAAAATGTTACTGAAGCATTGTGTGTGTGTGTGTTTAGATGAGTGAAGAAATCTTTCAAGAAGGGTAAGGATCAAGGAGAGAAATCAAAGTGATGAAACCAAGGGCCAGTTCTCAAATTTTTTTGGAAGCAAGATCTCCCTTTGACATAATTCAACATAGTGCCATAATGGAGCCTGATAAGTGACCTCATTAATTGGTGGAGAAAAATTCCATTAACATTTCCTGTTGACAAGAACCATATTCCAAAGAACTGTCTCAGATTTATTTTTTGTCTGTCAAAAGGGAAGCTGGGCAAATTACAGGCATCAGAGCTTGGAAATGTTATCTTTTGGACAACAACTCCCAAAATCCCTCAGCTACCAAGGATTGTGGGAATTGTTGAACAAAAGGTAATTTAAATTTATTACAAAAAGTAATAGTCTGGGCGACTCCAACAATAACTCCAAAACCAGTTGCGTCAGCTCGGATAGGGAGTCTGTTAAACAACGGGGTGGACGGTATACCAACAGAATCCCTATACTATCCCTAGTTTTCAGGCTCAGGTACATACACTCGAAGCAGTCCGTTTTCCGAATAGGTATCCTGGTCAAGGAAAGCTTGTCTTTGTGAACCAGAGCCACACCACCACTCCATCCACTTTCCCTTACCTGCTCATAAACAGAATACCCGGCTGGGAGAGCCTGATTCCAGGTGATGGTACTATCCTCCCCCAGCCAGGTTTCCGTGAAGCATGCCAGGTTGGCCTTTTCATCCCCAATGAG